AGATAGTTACCAGGGTACGTTCCGGTATACCAGATAGTTACCAGGGTACGTTCCGGTATACCGGACCGTACCCAGGGTACGTTCCGGTATACCGGACCGTACCCAGGGTACGTTCCGGCAGTACCCTGGGGGACATATAGACCCTATGAGCTTTAATATATACAATGTAACATTTCTACTAAGATTTGTAACATAAATTAATAATATGCTAAAGACTTGGATCAAGTCGGTTCCAAATATTACTATACTAGGTATCAACTGGGACTAGTACAATGGTGCAACACGGAATCACGATAGAGGCTATCTTAGGAATCGGTGAACAAAAGTACATTTAGCCCAGAACGGCACCTATAGTGACAATTTTAGAAAAATTATAAAATAACATCATTACAGGCTCACACTTATCGAGTGCTTGCACATTCAGAGTATATGCATTCTTACGATGTGTATAGTAACACAATCTAATTTATATTGGAATGTACAACATGGAAGGTTAATGCAATTAATGAATAGCTGAAAATTTACCACATCACCAAAATACAATACATAATTATATAAATATTGACCATGACAAGAAGTGCATTTAACTGTGACTGGCATTTCAACTTTATGGTTAAATACATAATAAAGATTATATAAAATAGACGACAGTTACTTTCATCGTTAAAGGGATACTAGACTAGGATTTTACTGCATACAACTGTACTTACTGTATAACAAGTTGTCTATACCCACACGTACTTGTTATCAGATACCTAATTTAATTGTTATAATTAATTATACATCAATGCTACGAAATTTGAACGGTGCCATTGACATCCGCGACCGTGCTGCCACCCTGAAAAAGTTGCGCATTTCCCAATATATTTTGCACGTTACAGACCGAGGGCTAATCACAAAGGTGCAATTATATTTATACCTAAATGCTATTTAACCGAACGATAATTGCTTTGTTAATTTAGCATGATTCATTTAATTTAATTTCTTCATGATCATTAATCCATAATTACACTGCCGTAAATGAGAGTTTACTGATTATACTCTTATTGCACCATTTCATATTCACCAAGGTAATAAATGTTAGTTAATAAAAACATTTATTCGTATGCAACAAGTTCTATTTGCCCTGTGTAAATGTTAAATCTGACTTTACATATTCCAATATATTGTATTCACCTATGACAGAAAAATGCTGGCTTTTAGCACTGCAAATGACAGTCACAATATCAAGTGTGACACACTGCATCAATTTCTCAAACTAATTTTAATTTTTGCAGTAATATTTTATAATGGAAAAATCATCATCACCTTTTTTTAAATTAGGAACAATATACAAAAAAAGAGCTTGATGCTTTAAACTACTTAATTATTGTTTCAAGGCAAATTACCCAAAAAAGCTTGATATACATTATACTCATACTCTTATATACTGAGTATACACTTGTTAATGGTAAACATAGGTAATGTTCAGGGTAGGTTCATATTTTAAAGTGTACAGCTTCTATAATCAATCTCTCCAAGGAAATGAATTTCAACCACTATTATGATAAATGAAATTATGAGGTTGCATGCATTTGCCTAACTTGAGGTGAGATTCTCTCTATTTTATTTTGAAAAGATAGTTTCCTATGAACCAAATTACATGCACTAGTGCGTCTCTAGTCTTCTTCACCACTCACGTATTAATGCTAGATGGTTATCTTCACCGCGTTATCCTCTAATCTGAATCCTCTTCTTCACCATACTCACCAGAATAAACTCTGACAGGAGCAACTGCAGGGAAATACAAACAAGGTCAATGCAATTAATGAAATTCATGCAGTTTGCACTTTCGACATCATAGCTTTATAATGGTTTGATAGCAAGTGCATAACAAATGCCAACGGAACCATGAATGTGCCCATTTATATAAATTGACAAGAGATAATTAAAATTGCAAGAGTTGTGGTTTTCAGCAATATTCAGAGTGTATTTTTACATAGAAATGAATAAATTTATAAATTTTTTAGGAAGCTCTGGGTTGATATAATCCATAATGTAGCATTTCCTGCCCAAATCGTGACCACCTCAGTATTGTGCACCACATAATCCGATATCACGACTCTGTAAAACTTACTTGCTTGTTTAAGTAAAGTTGCAGTATCTGCATTGTGAGCCAAGTTCAAGGCAGTTTTATTCTCCTTGTTCGTAATAGAAGTATTAGCACCTGGATATTAAACAAAATTGATGGAAAATGCATTAGGAGACAAATACACGCCATAATGTACTGGATGATGTATCTCAGCGATAATTGCAAAATTATAATAGAGCAATGTATAATGTATCATGCAACTACTACTACTACCAACATAAGAAAATCATAGTAATTTAATAGAATCGGTGGTATGGAAATATATGAGGAAGCTGTGATTTGCCCGATATTTGCACATGCACGCAACCACCCATGCATGCACATCCATTCACGCACGCACGCACATATAGACACAGTCATGCATGCAAACAGGGACACACGCACGCATGCACACTCGCAAACATGGACACGCGCACGCATGTACACAAGCAGATGCACCGGCACATACATACTCTTAAGTAACACTCACTCGTGAAATCTAAATACCACATACATATGATTGACAGTTTATGTATTATACATGAAAATGAAACAAGCATAAGTGCAGAAAATTATTATACCTTCATCTAGAAGAAGCTTAACAATATCTGCATGACCTTTCCATGCTGCTGCATGTAGGGGTGTGTCACCCAGCTTATTCTACAATGAGAAACCAAGTAGAAATATTGTTAAAGATAAACATTATAATGTATGTTTAATGCACCATTCAAGTTAAAGTAGGTTTAAAATATGCCACGTAAAAATATTCACAAATAATTTTTTTAAATGTATAACTAATGACGATTGTATTTCTTAAAACGCTGATTGTATCACTATTTTTGCTACTCCAGCAAAGTTGCACAAACATGGTTTTCAGCTGCATGAACACAGACCAAAAGCATTTATTAATTTAGGAGGACTGCAATATGTCATAATTCACTATTTGTTTCCATTAAATTATGCACATAACTTTATCCTAAAAAAAGGTAAATCAGATGAATGCTAGTTTATAATTATAATTACCCTTTTGCAATTTACTATCTAAATCATGTACAATGAAAATTTAAAGGTGCAAGTTTAGGAAGCAGTACAAGACTTACAGTGCCAAAGCAGTGTAAAACAAACTTTGCAACGAATACAAAGATGATTCAGAACAGAATCAATTACATAGATCTATGTCTCTGACATCTTTACTTATTACTCCCCAACAGTCCCAGTTCTTCTAACGTTTCATTTAATTGTATATAGACTTTACTAATAGGTTCCAATCCCTTATCCTTTAACAAGACAGACAAATAATAATGAAATGTATGCTAGATGAGTCATTTCATCTAGAAAATTACAATGTACGTATTCTACACAAATGGTTCATGGCATTACACTTCATGTCCATGCCTGAGTAATTATAGCAGATCACCTGTGAGTTCACTGCCACTGTTGGTACAGCAAGTAGATTCCTAACACAATCTACATGACCTGCATGGCTTGCCCAATACAGTGGAGTCGATCCCGCTTTGTCCAGGCCATTCACTGACACCTACAAAATAGATATATTTCCTTCATACCCAATTTCTAACAACTATGGAACACATTTCTACACACAAAATCAAGAGTGCATACAGGCACACATGCATCAATATACATATGCGTGCATGTACACACGCATCCACACGCACACGCACATGCACATGCACACACACAGACCAACACACATTCACACATAGAAAAATTGTAATGATGATAAACTAGAGTTATGTCATCAGTAAATAACAAACAAGTAAAAGTGGATGAGTGGAGTAGTAGGAGTTCTATACTACCATCACCTTTATTTTATTATATACATTATACATGTGCATATTATATATACATATTATGCACACTCAAAAGCAACTTACCTGGTTGCGCAAGCACTCGGACATAAAATCAATGTTACCCCTCTTTGCTGCTTCGTGCAAAGGATTGAGGAGGGTTTCTGCACTTTCTTCCACTACAAGACAGACAATGCACACATGAACATTTCTCCTAATAGTAGTTTGTTTAGATCTTGTACTATACATAATTATAACTGCTATATATAGACATTTAAAAAGATTTCTCGTGCAGCTAACTAGAAGCTGGTAGCATGTAAATACTCATTTGCAATATTTCTAATTAAATATACTGATATATAATTGGCATGGGAAACGTACCATAGTTCTCTGGAACGAGACCGGTTCTGCCACCACATTTTGCTGTCCACCACCCTGTTTCCTTTTGGTCAACAACATAGAGGAGATCACCTTCCTCAAATGACAGTTCATCTGGCTAATAAATGGAAAACATTCACATTCAACTATTAGACAGACAATGCAAAGTTGGATAGGATAGGTCACATCCTAATACGCACAGCAAGTTAACACTTCCTGCTTCATGTGTCTATGTGAACACTATCTAACCTGTTACCTGTACTGTATGACATTAGACAAACTGAAATAACGGCATCTTACTTAACCTGCACAAGTTGAAAGAGCAACATATGAAATTAAAGCACATACCTGCTGTGCAACATACTTGAACAAAGCTTTCATTACCTTCACATGTCCTGCAATAAACATGAAGCATAAAACTAGATACATGTCACAAAATATAAAAACCTATAAAGCTCTTCTATATTCATTTAACCAGGGCTGTATTCACATGTGAAGACATAATGAACAGAGATCCAGCTAGCTTTGGCCATAGAAACATAACGTTAGTAAACAACATAATTCTATTACACAAATACACAATACGAATTACACAAATAATGTACCATTACAAAAAATTCCAGCCCTATTAAAAACAAAGCTATTTTCAAGATTTACATTACTGGTTAAACTAATTGACTGACCTACACACAGAAATTTAAATG